GCCCGATTCTAAGAAGGAGCAGCTTAAGTATCTTAAGTAGTTGTGAAAAACAGCAATGAGTGAATTCATTACTAACTACTTAAGACAGCTTTATTTATTCTGCAATTATTTCCTGAACAAAAGATGTGTGCTGTTTTTAAAACAAGTTCTAAATGTTGCTATCTTTGATTTTCTTTTTAAAGCTCCCCCCCCCCTTAAAAGACAAATCAAAGAATTACTGCACAGCAGCAGGTTATTTCTGGCTCTTCTACAATTATTAATCTTGTTACAACATTAACAAGTGGGAACATAAGCAAAGAAGAAAACACACACACATACAACTCAGGACAGCTATTTTCTGGAAAAAGTCCTGAGAGGTATCAGTGTTCAGCTACGGGAGCAAAAACAGTCTTGTGACACTGCATCATATGTCATCTGATCCGATGCCACAATGAATCTGTTAAGGTAGGGCAGGCATAGGCAAACTCAGCCCTCCAGATGTTTTGAGACTACAATTCCCATCATCCCCGACCACTGGTCCTGTTAGCTAGGGGTGGTGGGAGCTGTAGTCCCAAAACATCTGGAGGGCCGAGTTTGCTTATGCCTGGGGTAGGACATGGCCATCCAGGTATGTTTTGAACTACAACTCCCATCAGTCTTAGCCATCAGAACCATACTGGATGGGGCTAGTAAAAGTTGCAGTTCAAAACATCTGCAAGGCACCAAGTTCTTCAATACTGTTTTAGAGTGACAGCCAACGTTCAATAAGCAAACTAGTGCTCATGAAACAAAATTCCCTCTTTGCTTCCGAGACCCTCCCCATATCTGCTCCAGTGAGTCCCCTAAGAGTAGATGGGGGGGGAGAGAGAGAGACTGCAGGGAAGTCCTGCACCAGCAGAAGTCCATTTTGGTTGCGGGCAGCTAACATAGGATGTGACTATTAGTCTTTAAAGTGCCACAATCCTCAGTGGTGATGTTCTCTGCATCAGTGCTAGAAATGAGCCAGGATAATTTTGCACCTGGCTTACTGACCACTTGTGACCAAATGAAGATGCCTGAGCGCCAGGATGGCACCTGACACCACCACCTGGATATGCATGCCTGGGGATCATTGGACCTTGACTGTTTTCACACACTAATATCACATCCTATAGAATTCTATCATTTATAGTTTTATCTGCACAATCAGAATGAATTTCAGGAACCAAAAAGTCATATTGAAAAATACAACTTTAGAGCTGCCTTGCCCCCAAATGGCAACTAGACATTCCATTTTGGCAAATGTAGCCTTTATTTAAGGAGCCTTTTAGTGCCTAGCTTATATACAGTACCTGAGTTTATAACACTGCTTTGGTTGAAGGAAAGTTGATCATATAATCTTAACCATACTGGTATCTCTCTCTGTTGAAAAATGTGATTTGTGTTTCCCTACCATGCCACAAAACCTAAAGTAATGAACCATCATTACTAATACCTGCAGCAGTAGCATGTACTCTCAACATCAATGAAATCTAGTTTCAATGTGACTTGAAATTAGAATTGATTTGTCACAGGACTTGAATCTTCCAGAGCCCTTGAGCAAGTTTATAATGTCATACAAAATCAAACCTTGCTACTCCTTTTAATCAGTAGTAATGTTTGAATCATGAATAAGCTTGTGAGGATGCTACTGGGATTCTTAAAGAACTAAAACAGAAATTATTATACAGTTTAAAGGTAAAGCAATAGTTTTATTAGCACAATTTAATAGGGACCCAACATTAAAAATGTAAGCCATTTTATAATGTGAAAAATAGCTGCCTTTCCACTTTCAATGAAACACATTAGGAATCTAGACATTTCAGAGGTGGGGCATTCTTGACATAACTTCACAGAAGGTGTAGCCCTGGGTTTGAAAGTGATAATAAGAAAAACACTCTTAAGAAACCATATTTTCATGTAACACAGGAATAACCAATGGACATATAGGTTAAACTTCTTTTGAACAAAGCACAACATTTAACTGTTGTTCACTTTATAATTTGTGTATATTGGAAAACAGACATGTACAGAAACAGAACAAATAATGGTTGAGATCCTAAGGCTATCCCCTTCTAGTGGCAGCCATTCATATCCCCTGAAATGTTGCACCAAAAGGTCATCACATTATCCAGAACAGCTTTCCATGAGGCTAGAGGGGCGTACACATAGGGATCTACAGATCCCAGCCAATGTTAAAGGAACATAATGTTGGATGTTTTTTATTTCCACTTAGCAAATTTGAGAACTTACTGAACACGTCAGACAGACATCACTTTAACATTTCAGGATCTGTACTCAAATACCACAATTACATCATCATCATCATTATTATTATTATTATTATTATTATCATCACTATTGGGAAACATTACAACTAGAGATGCAAAAAACTATGCCAATTGACTGATTTATAATATAATCACTTTGTGCCATAGGAGAAACACCTACTTGTTCTGCCAGACAAACACTAAAAAAAAATCAATGACAAAATTCATCTTCAATAATAACAAGCAACTGTTATGTGGTTCTATAATTCACAAAGTTACTATCCTACGGATTCGCCTGAATCTTGCTGAAGTCAAAGAAATTTAAGCACCTAACTCTGTGCAGAAATGGAACCCATAAATGTAACACTAGGAGCCTATATTCCAAAGCTACAATATTACATTGTGTTCTTCCCAAAGACTGACAACATGAACCTCAACCAAGTATAAAAGATGTTCCTGATAAAATTATTTCAGCAGAGTCAAATTTAAGGCTACTATTCTCAACAGCTGCTATGGACAACTTAATAGGACTGTGTTAAAAAACAGGTGGTTTCAAATATACCTGTTTATAACAACTGATCTGTCTGTGCAGAAACTGTTCTCTTCTGTTAAAATTCCACAGATTAAAGAAATTAGTAATTTAGGGTTTTTTTAAAAGAGCCAAAAGCAACAATTTCCTCAACAATTCAGTTAAATTTTCTCCAGAGCATGAATCCCATCATTAACTGGATTATAAAAAAAACATTATTCTACTATAAATATAAACCAGTATATAAGCTTGATTGATAAAAATGTATAAGAGCCCAGTGTTGGAAATGCTTTTGTCCACTCCCCAAGTAATTATAATGCACATTCAACAAGCTAAATTGCTTGCAACCACATAATTCCACTCCTCATTCACCTTCGTCTTGCACTGGAGGCCCTTGTTATCAGTCTCTCATTACTACTAGGTGCAATTATTTGTCATGCTGGACCCTCAGCCAGTATCAAAAAATGTCCCCAACTCCTGGGCCTTATGGTCACTTTTGCAGGGTCTGCAGCACTGGTCTTCAACTGGTGGGTCAGGACCCACCAGTGGACTGGGATCTAATCCAATGTGGGTCACAACAGGAGCACTGCTACCATGCAAATATATGGTAAAAGAAATAGGTCCCCAAATGCATGTATATGTCAAAAGCAGACCCTGGAACTGAAAAGGTTGATGATACCTGGCCTAGAGAGTTTGAGTCATGTTTATACTCTTAAGTTGATTCATGCACTTTAAAACGAAAGAGGAAACATATTCCAAAGCCACAGGTGACCTAATGGGAGGCATCTGATGTTTCACACTTTTCCACAAGAGCATTTTACGTCTTTAAAATTTTATAGTACAACCCAATCCAGAGCACTCTTCTATAAAATGGAATCGGTTGACCCAAGTACTTTAAACCAATTTGGCTGTAGACCAGATTATGAACATGCCAACCTAAAATACTACTTCTGTCCATCATATTGGTTCATTTCTCTTATTACCATTTGGAACAGAAATGTTGTCTAAAGAAGCTGCATTTTCTCCAGAAACAAATCTTATATGGGACTTTAGACCCAATGTTACTTAGCAGTATATTTTCAGAAACTCCAGGTTTACAAACAGCAAAACAGATAAAAAATATCACTCTGTGCAAAACTAAAAAAAAATTCTTTAAAAAGAAACACCCTGTATGTACAGGATACATATAGGTACATATTTTTTGCAGAGCAGCTAGCACCTTTTGTCCGAGTTTTCAAGAGGGATGCATTAGACCTGATCAAATCAGTTTACCAGAGGAAGGATAATTGCTGTATACAAAGAACCTTGTGATTCACCCTCAATCTCATTATTTACTACTGCGATATTCCGGCTTTAAAAAAATAGGCACAGGCCTACTCATCTACGCTATTTATTAAAACAACCTAGCAACCAAGAAGCGCTAGATTGATTTATGTAGTAGCTGCATGAACGCAAACCGGGGCCCTTTGCGTACAGGGCAATTTTGCAAGAGAAAAGCAAATACGCTTTCATTCCTGCACCACCAAGAAACCGGCTTAACTAACCTGACGACTGGCTCTGGCCGCTCAAAGCCCCAAAAGGCTGCCTTTAAAAAAATAAGAAAGAAAGAGAACGAACTAGCAGCAGTTCCGGATTCGAGGAGGTCCCTCCTTTCCTCCCTCTCCCAACGCCGACGGAGGATCCCCAAGGCGAAGGAAAGTTTTCCTGGAGCCCCACAAGGACAACAATGCCGCCCCCCCCCAGCAGGAGCCGCCAAGGCGCCTCGCAGGGACCCCTTCGCTTCCCACCCCCGCCCTCCCTCCCCTAACCGACTCCCGGCTCCGCGGCTACAGTCACAAAGGTCGGCTGTAGCCGCGCACTTCAGCCGCGGGCGCGGAAGGTATAATAAAGGAGAGAGGAAGAAGGCGGGGCGGAGAGGGGAAGAAATCCGCCTCCATCCAGCAGGGCACGTCAGGGGCCGCCGAACCCGTGTCGAGGCATCCCGAGGACACACCCTGAGGGTCAAACGGCGGCAGCCACCCAGCGGGGGCGAGGAGGCCTCAAGGGCCCCGGGGCCCGAGCTCCACAGGCAGAGGACCCCCCCACCTCCTCCTCCTGGCCGCCAACGCCTCCCGCGCCCGGGAAGCCGAAGCGCCAAGGCTCCCTCGGAAAGGCCTCCTCAGGCGCCGCAACACGGAAAGGCCTCCTCAAGGCCCCGGCAGTACCTTCGCTCCGCGGCGGGCCGGGTGGCTGGCAGGCAGGCAGGCGGCGGCGGCGGCTACCCCCACCCAGTCGGCGTCGTGGTGGTGCTGCGGCGGCGGCTCTCGGTGTGGGCCTCGGCCGGCGCTCCTCTCCCCGGCTGGGTTCGCCTACGGCCTTCGGCTCGCTCGGTGTCGGCCTGGCTGGCCCCTCCCCCGCCCCGCGGTCCTGGCTGCGCAGCGGCCCCTGCTCTTCCTTTCCCTTCTCGCTCGCTCTCGCTCTCCTCTTCCCTTCCCAGCCCGGCGGCGGATACTACTGACCCGACGAGCAGCTGCGGCGGAGCAGGAGAAAGCCCCGCGCCCAGCTCGGCAGGCGACTCGCGGCTGCCCCCTGCGGCCTGGCGGGATCCGCGCAGCCGACGCCGCAGCCCTCGGGCCTGCCAGGCGCCCTTCAACGCCGGCCAATGTTCTCGGAACGCGAAGGAGATCGGGGACAATGGGCGAAAGGAATGCCTCTGAGCATGGGCAGACGCCGGGGGAGGGGCGCACGGCCTTTCCTTCGTAAATCGTAGGGCGTGGTTAAGCTATGTGGAAGCCTTTCCAGGCTCTTGACCTAATAATAATAATAATATCCCCAAAGATACATGTTGTATGCGAGATTAAAATCTGCACATGCTCTAGGTCACCGTGAGATCGCTGAACAGTTTACGATGCTCTACCTGGTGCTTGCTAGCGCTCTTTGCAAAGAATGCTGGATTAGGTGGGATTTCGTCAGATTTCAAAATTCTTAGCGTTTACGTAGTCGAAAGAACTCTCCCTCACCGAACACGGCTTTATTGAACAGTTTCTGTACGGGCTTAACACTTTAGTCTCTAATCAGCGATTAGCAATGCTTTAACTGTTAAATCGCATCTGCAATAAAAATTCAGAAAGCAGCAGCAGACCCTGGAAATTCAGCAGCAATTTTTAGTGACACATCTCAACCCGTCATCCTGTTTGGAAATAAATAGCAGGGCCTCTGAGCATATATAAAGAGCATTTCCCCCGGTGTGTACAGTCTGCTCCAATGCGAAAGTAAACCCTACTGCGTTCGAAGTGTCTTACTCCCAGGTCAAATGTGCATTCAGTTGCAGGAAAGAGTAGATACACTTTGTGACTTGGGAGAGGTTTTCCTTCAATCCAAGACTGAAAGGACGAGGCTGGTGAGTTTCCAGATACTTAAAGTAGAATGATAGCCCTATGTTCACCAATGGTACGCCCGTATTTCTATCCATCTATGGTCTCTGGACAAATCTGTTTTACAGGTTTAGTAATGCTGCAGAAACCTGTTCGGTCAGAAGTTTTAAGTTGTGTGCCTGAGGCAGTGACGGTTCTAACATAATGCCTTCCAGTCTCTGAAAAGCTATCCAGCACACAGAATGTAAGAACAGGTGTGGTACAATCGAAAGAGGCTTGGGGGAAATGAACAGGGGTTTAAAAACCTGCTGAAGCTCACATAAGGGAGTGTTTACTGGTCTAGGAGACCCCTCTTCCTTTTATTTTAACAGCCTACACCTATAGCTATTCTCCCCCACCCACCCAGATTTGTAAGCAATTTAATGTGCAGCAGGGAAGGACAACATAAACTGTTTGGGGATGGTTGTTTATTAGCAAACCAGTCATGGTTCACAACAAATTCTATGCCCACACACTGTACGTTTAAGACATATCTGCCATGTCCCCAAAGAATCCTGGGAACTGTAGTTTAACCCTCACAGAGTTAAATTCTGCTTGATTGTAAAAAACAAAACCCAAAGCAGTTAATAAACTTCACTTCCCAGCACCCTTAACCAACGATAGTTCCCAGGATTCTTGGGTGTGTGTACTTTATGGTGTGTATGCAGACTGTGATATCTATAAGGAACTAGAGTTGTCTTTGTAAGGAAGGATTAGTCTTTGCAGCACATGGCTACTGTGGAACTCCTTATGAAAGCACATGAAAGGAGATGTTTTGTTAATTCTGTCTGTGTCCCCCTGCTGAGAGCTAGCAGAACCCAAAGCACATCAGGGCCAAACTAGATACATGTTTTCAAAGAGATTGCATTTCCTGCATCTGCTCAAACTGCTTTGTGCTAAATTTGGATTTGTGGGTTGTTCTCATTCTCACTGTTGGCTTCTGAACACAAGGGCAAATCCCAGAGGGCATGTTCCAGCCTCTTAAATCCCACTGGTTTCAACAGGAAGGTGAACAGTGCAGTGCTATACATGCCTACTTGAAAGTAAGTCCCATAGGGTTCAATGGAGCTTACTCCCAGCTAAGTGGGTATAGGGTTGCAGCAGAGCCCTATACCCAGTTCCTGGGGGAAAGTCTTGCTGAACTTCCAATTAGACATAGGATTGCATTGCTAAGCACCTGCTGTAACCTTCCCATTGAAATCAATGAGACTTTAAAAGGCTTGACACACGGAAAGCTGCCTTATACCTAGTCAGACCATTGGTCCATCTGGCTCATTATTGTCTACACTGACTGTCAGAGGCTCATCAGGGGACATTCCCAGCCCTACCTGGAAATGGCAGGACTTGAACCTGGGATCATCTACATGCACAGCAGGCATTCTACAATGAGCTATGGCTTCACTTTGCTTGGATCATGCCTTTAAAGCCCTATACGGCCTAGGACCCTCGTACCTACGGGACCGCCTCTCCTGGTATGTCCCACAGAGGAACTTACGGTCTTCAAACAAAAACATCTTGGAGACTTCCGGCTCCGGTCGCGGACGGCGAGGAAGCGAGGAAAGCCACGCTGAGGGTTTTCCGAATATTTCGGAGATAAGGGGGTGTCGCAAGGGCACTGCGCCCCCCAAAAAAGCGAAAGCCCGGGGGGGAACCCCTGGGGGAAGGTTTCCCAGCGGCGTGGAGCGGCGTTTACATCTGAGAGCCCTCCCTTCTCAGGCAGAGAGGGGAGACAGGGCGGAGCCGCAGGCGCACAAAGGGAATTACCATCTCCGAAATACGATGCCCCGAGCTTCCACAGAGAAAGGCGACGAGCCTCAACAGACTTAAAAACGGAGCCCCCATCGTCACTGGACTTAAAATAATAATGAAAAGAAGGAGTACAGATGGGTGAGTCCGGATAGTAATTGACTGTTATATATGGTCACCATCCGACGCAGACCAAAAAGAGTGCAGACTCAGAGAAACGCAGTTAGTAAGAGAGTTGAATACCGCATATCGACCGAACTGTGTATATTCAAAAGGAGGAGGGTTAGCTTTTTTCTTTACTGACTAAACTAAATGAACGAATCGGACCTTCATTGGTAGGAGGTCAAAGACTGTTTGCCTAAGCAACGTATACCCCCGCGAGGAGTTCGGCGTGGTCTCACGAACGGACTTATATATTTGGTTGCTTATATTTGGACGCCTAATTGGACGCTTATTATGAAACATTGCCTAAGTTTGGTGCCCTTTCGTGACTCTTTTGTGACTCTTTACTGTCTTTTTTAAAGACGAAATAGTGGGCACACATAGTAGTAAGCAGTAAGCGTTAAAGGAACAAAACCCAAGAGAACAGGAGGAGTACAGGAGGAGTACAAAGAGGGAGGAGACAAGCCCGATACGGTCGCCATCGAAGAGACATATGGTAGAAAGCCGGAAATGATTGTTGGCTAAGAACCGCAGCTGTTTTATTTACTTAAGATATATGGGTCTTTCTTGGGTCGATGTAAGACGCTGTGTTAAGGACGCAAAGGAAGTTAAAAGCAGACAACTCTCGCTGCAGTAGACGTATCGAACCTACCCCCCCCACTCCCTAGTGACTTAGCGTGATTGTTTGATTGACACCTACGGCGTTTGGTATATCAGTGTATACCCCCCCGTCTGGTTGATCCCTGCCTTTCCCCCCCTTTCCCCCCCTTTCCCCTCCCACTTAGTTAATTCAGTGGTTGCTTAGCTCTGCGCACAGCCAACGTTATATATATATTTTTTTGATTTTTTCCAACCTCCCTGTCTGACTTCTCTTTCACCTAGTTGGTAAAGTTCACAGAAACAACCTATTTGCCCCCCCTACCCCTTTGTTTCCTTATACTTACCTCTGGGATAACTCCCTATACTTACCATTTGGACTTGTATCTTTCTTTATTTTCTCTTGATATTTTGGGGACACGGGGCTCTGTTAAGCCCTGGGTACCCCGCGTGGGAATTTGTTGGGGTTTCGACGGTATCTTCTCATATATTTCTCATGTATTCTCTTATGTAACTAAACAGACCATTTGGGACAGTCATATAGAGGAGAAAAAGGAGACTGTGAGCCCTTAAAGGGAGAGAATTAGTATTGAAAAGACCAATAAATAATAAGGAACAAAAATGCAGGGGAAGAATGGGAAAAGGGGAGGGGGAACGCCAGGGGAAAGGAAAACCTCTAGGCAGGAAGAAATCAAAGACCTGGACTTTCTGTGGCTAAAAATCAAGGAGGAACTTAAGCAGAACGAAAATAATATAGAAAATAAATTAGAGGAAATGCAAGACAGAATAAATAAAAGAATAGAGGGAGCTATAGGAGAGCTAGGAAAGAAAGTACAAGAGTTAACGATTAAAGCAAAGTCATTTGAGGATACTAACAAAAAAATTCAAAAGGACGTAAGAGAGCAGAAAAGGGAGATAGAAAAAATGAAGGAGGAGATGCGAGAGCTGAACAAATCACAGGAGCAGACATGGGACAATATAGCGATGGCCGAAATGAGGCAAAGACAAATGCACCTAAAATTTAGAGGTATAGAGGAAGAAACGAAAGAGAATATTAAAGATAAAATAATCACAGAATTAGCAAAATGGTTAGAGACTAAAGAAGAAGAAGTCGCGTACACAATAGAAAACGCCTTCAGGATTAAAACAAGAACGCTCCAGAACAGAACTAGAAAACCCATAGGGGATTGCCTAGTAATGTTTAATTCAATAGGAATGAGGAACCTGATACTTAAAACAAGCTACTATAAAAAACTCATAATAGGCGGCAGACCAATAATTGTCTTGAAAGAGATTCCGGTCAGGTTATTACGCAAGAGGGAAGGGTACAGACACATAATAGGTGTTCTGAGGAGGAACAATATCCAATATAGATGGGAATTTCCCGAGGGAGTCGCCTTTTTCTTTAA